GGGGCCACCCAGGGGCACTTACAGGAAGGACCTCACGTCCAAGCCTCGGTTTCGAATCTGCCCCACCACGTGGTCCCAGCTGCCTGGGCTGGAGCGGCTGCGGCCCCCAGTGGCCCGGTACTTGGAGCCGGCTGAAGCGGCCTGCCGGGCTGGGCCACGGCTGTGGGCGCGGGGGTTGGTGCCGGGCGCCGCGGCCACGTGGGCCTGCAGCTGGCCCAGGCTCTGGCTGGTGGTGGGCTGGCTGGGCGGCCGGCCCCGCTGGTGCTGGCTCAGGGGCTGTTGCAGGCTCTGCTGCCGCGTCAGGGTGCGGGGTCGCTGGCATTTCGGCTCTCCCGTGGAGCTGGGGATAGACTCAAGGGTAGTGGCCGTGGACAGGGTGGAGTCCTCGAAACTTGGGGTGGGCGGAGGAGAGGAGAGAAAGGAGAAGCAGTTGAAGGGATCACAGTGGAGGAGAAGGAAGCCCAGGGCCAGGAGGCCCCAGTGCAGGGCGTGCTCGGCCGGGCCATCGCCATCGCCGCTGTCACCGCTGCTGGCCCCACACCCACCCCAAGGCCCCAGCCGGCCCTGACCTCCTGCCGTCCAGCCAGCAAGGCTGGCTGGCACCCGCACCTCCTGCCTGGACCCCTCTCCATACGGCAGTGTGGTGAAGGCAGCTGCCAAGGCCCGTGGCTCCTCACGTGGGAATGGAGCGGCGTCTCCCTGGGAGACACCAGGAAAGCCTGATTTCTGCTCCCACCATCCTCCACTGGAGGATGATATCCAGGACCATGGGGGCCTGGCTGGCAAGGCCTGCTGGGCAGTACTATGGGTCTGGACACTCTGCTCCCCCAGGGGAGGAGGGGAAGTGGCTGTGGCCACAGACCTCTGGCCCTCCTACAATGCTAGCCTTAGGCTCAGGGCGCAGCACCACCCTCCTGCCTGGACTCTGCTCCGGGTCTCAGCATCCCCTCTTGGTTCCTTAGGAACAACTCCCTGTCTGGGAAGGGACCAAGAAAAGAGCACACCAGATGCTTCAGACCTGCTCCCCTGGCCCCTGTTCTGACAGAGAACGGGGTGACTGCCCTGTCCTTTGTGCACCTGCAAGAAGGTCTCCATGCCAGGCTGCCAGCAGCTCGGCACAGCGCTGGGGTCGGTGAGAGGCTGGCATGAGATTGGATAGGAAGAGGCCCCGGCTGCCCTCAGGCAGCGCGGGGCCAGCGAGCCTTGGCTGAGAGCCGACCTCTGTCACTTACTTCCTGGGCTCTGGAGAAGCCTCTTCACCTCCCCAGGCCTCAGGGTTCCATGCCCTGCCCCCTCCATCTGCCAGTCCAGCGGTCTAGGGCAGGGTCAGCTTGGCAGCCTGGGGTCCCAAACTGGCTGGGACTCAAGTTTTCCTGAAACACAGCCCTGGCATTGGCTTTCAGGGTTTGGGGCTGGGCAGCATGAACCAGCCAGGCTCACAAAGCCTACATATCCTGTGCGTCCTGCGCTTCATCACCCTTGGTCTGCAGCCACAGGGCAGTAGCCTCGTTCCCCTGGGAAGGTGGGGAAGAGGCCAGGGCCCTGGGGAGCCACGTTCACCACACAACCAGACTCTGCCTTTGTTCTCCTGAGAACTACCAAAGAGCCAAAAGACAATAGCAGTTAGGCTGCCCCTGTGGGCTGAGGGGAGAGAGAGACAGAGAGACAGAGAGAGGGAGGGGGAGAGAGCCAGAGCACAGTAAAGAGAGAGCACAAGAGAGGATAGAGAAAGCAGAACGTGCCTTTTCTGGGGCCTCCCTGGGGAGCAACCTGGCTTGACTGGGGCTTAGAACTAGGCTTCTGCCTGGGGCCAGGTGAGCCTGCAGCTCTGAGGGCAGTGGGGGCTGAGACCAAGGGAGGATGGCATACCTGTGGCTGCCTCCTCCTTGCTGACCTCATTTTGGTTTCCTATCGCATCTAAAATTAGTCTAATATACAATCTCTCAGTCACGGGAAACTAAAATTGGCGCCTCCAAGGCCCAGAGCCAGCGCAGGGCACAGAGTCCTCACTAGCCTAGAGACCGGCCGGGCAGCAGGGCAGCCCAGCAGCAGGCGGGCAGGGTGCGGGACCTCCCACAGGCCAGATGTCAGGAGAAACAGCCCTGTGGTCCCTCAAGCCAACAAGCAAAAGAGGTCCCAGCCAGGGAAACTTCTGGAGGAAGCCAGGAGGGTCCAGCACAGCCAACTGCTGGGAAGGGCGGCTGCAAACAAGGCAGGGGCAGGGCTGAAAATGGAACCCCTGTCCTGACACAGGGCAAGGCCAGCACCACGGGACCTAAAACCCAGAGGGCACCACTGTGGGATGGAGGCCAAAACAAGAATAGGCTGTCCGTGGGACAGGAGGGGGACATGGCATGGTTGAAAGCAGGGCCAACTCCATGTCCATCACTCAAGAGGGGCCAGTGAGAGGGACAGCTCCGCTGGGTGGTGTTCAGGCCACCCTCTGATGTTGGGAAGGAGAAGCCGGTCAGGGCACAACGGCCTGGCCCCCAAGGCCCTCAACCCCTGCAGCTGGCCAAGGGATAGCTCACTGACCACGGCTCGGGCAGGCATGGGAAGGCCGAGATGAAGTGAACGGCGGCAGCTTAGTGGCTGCTCACAGGCAGAGCCGGGCAACAGATGGAGTCATGGCCCAAGTCAAACAGGACAAGTGATGGAGTCGGCAGGAGGCCTGGGGAACGGCAGGGCGGGGTCTACAGCAGCCTGCTGGCCGGAAGAGGCAGGCCTCGAGGTACAGCTTGACACAGGAGGGCCTGGGGGGCTGCGGGCCAGCGCCCCGCCTGCTGCCCACCGAGGGATGAGCGGAGGGTGGAGTGGCCCAGGCACCGCGAGGAGGCGCGGCTGGTGGGCGGCTGCCAGAGGCTGAAATGCAACACTATGGCTGGTGGTGGGCTGTGCCCATGGCTGGCGGAGGATGACCGTCTCGTGAAGGGGTGGAATGAGCCCGGGGCGGAGGACAGCGCCTCTGGGGGGCAGCAGGGTGCGTCCGCTGCCCACCCTGCGGGCGGCCTGAGCTCCCCGCTGCTCCGGCAGCCGCGGGCGCCAGCACTCACTTGGACAAGTTGAGCTTCCCTGCGGCCAGGTGGCTCTGCACCATCCGCCAGCGGCCTCTCCCCGCCTTGCCGCCGCTGCCCGGCTCGCCGCTTCTCAAGGCGTCCTCTCCCGGTGGCGGCGCCGGCGCCGGCTTCTCCCCCAGCCGGCCTTCCCGCTCCACGGCCAGCCCCGCCGCGGCGGCCACTTTGGCGCCCGACAGGAGGGTGCCACTGGGGGGCGTGCGTGAGGCAGCCCAGCCAGGCGGGCACGGGTGGCAGTGGCCGTGGCGGAGGGAGGACAGGCCACACGGGGGCACAGGGGTGGGCGAGGAGGAGAGACAACGACAGATAAAAGGAAGAGAGAGACAGTGAGAGAGGAGAGAGACAGACCAGACGGACAAGGGACAGACAGAGAGAGAAAGAGAAACATCAGCACCGGCCGGCTAACAGCAGCCTGCGGAGGAGAGAGGGGCGGGCTGGGGTCGAGAGCAACGCACCACGCACGACAACCGAGGGGCCCCCCCACCGCCGGCCGGCGGGGCGGGGGCAGCCACCTCCTCTATCCCACGGGACAACGAGGGTTAACGACGGAGGAAGAGCGGGCTGTCCAGGCCAGGAGGCCCCAGGCAGGGAGAAAGAGAAAGCCGTGTTAGTCAGAGATCCTCACCACCACCATCACCGCCACCGCCACCACCGCACACACCGACCACCGACCACCACCAGCAGCAGCCACGGCGGCGGCAGCAGCAGCAGCAGCAGCAGCAGCAGCAGCAGCAGCACGCGGGAAGGAAGCGGCCACACGGTGGGGACCAAACGGGCAACCCATCCTGCGGCCCAGAGGGCCGGCGGCGCGGGCGGGCGGGCGGGCGGGCGGCGGAGGGGTTGCTCGTCTCCATGGCGGCCTGCCCATGGGGAGGGAGGGCGGGGGGCAGCGGGCGGGGATGGGGCCGGGAGGGCGTGCGCGGAGACTGGACAGAGGGCGAATGAAACCAGGTAAAGTCACTCACTTGAGGGACAGTCGTGGGTCGCCATAAGGGGCGTAGGGTGAAATGTTTAGAATAAACTCCTTGGGAGGGTAGGAGCTCCATTTCTGCTGCACTGTGCTGTCATTGTTATTCCAAAAGTCTCTGTCTAGGTCGCTGGAGGGGCAGAGAGAGAGGGGAGACAGGAGATACAAGAAGAAACCGGCCAGGACCGTCCTGAGGGGGCGGGGCGGGGCCTGCAGGCTCAGCTCCTGTGGGAGGGAGAGACTGCCCGCCGCGCGCGCGCGCACACACACACGTCTGCACACCAAGGCGGGCACATACACTCATCCAAGTGCATGAGGAGGAAGCGGCAGGCAGCCACGGAAGCCTCTCACCTGGGAGCTGGAGGGAGAGAGAGCAGTGAGATGACAAGAGGAGGGACAGCAGGCAGAGTATGGCCCAGGGGTGGCCTGAGGTGGCGGGAGACTGGGAAGGAGCTAGGTCCCCAAGCCCAGTGTCCCTGCCTGTCAGAGAAGGTTGCCGGCCACTTGCTTCCAACTCCTTCCTCAGAGCCACCTGGGGGCGCCCAAGCGCCTTGCCTACCCTCTTCCTTCCATTGCTTTGGGGTGGCCCTGGCCTCCTGTACTCCTCCATCCTGGGGGCCTAGACTGCAGCACCACATGAGCATAGCCCTGGAGAAGGGGGAGTGAGGCCTTGGTCTCCAAGAAGGCAGCAGGGTCAGCAGGGTCCTTTGTTCTGGACCCTTCCCTGGGCAGCATGGGCGGCACACACAGCCTGCAGCAGGCCCTGACTCTACCCCATCTGCCCCTCGTGCTCTGTGTTGGTCACCCTGCAGCAGCATGCTGGACTGTGGAGTGAAGGGGGTAGTGTCAATGCCAGTGTGGGGGCTCCTGGGGCCTGGAAGAGGAGGGCTGGAGTCCTGGAAGAATAGAAGCTGCTCCCAGGCCAGAGAGTAAGGGCAGAGGCAGCAGTGCCCGAGCTGCAGAGACTGGGGCCAGACCTGGTGTGGGCCAAGGTGGGCACAGTGGGGACAACACTGCATGGGCCACACCCCATGGACCCAAAGACAGTCTCGGGAGACCTGGCACCCCCACTCCAAGTTCAACCTTGGCACTGAACCTTGGACCAGGAGCAAAGGGGAGAGAGGCAGAGACAGCAAAGCAGCTGCCCCCACCCCAAGGAAAGGGGACGGGGCCCTTGAGGGTCCAAAGCACACCCTGAAATATGCAGCTCATGTGGGACCAGATGGGGAGGTTGGGTGAGCCCAGGGCAAAGACAGAGACCCTATGGTCCCTGGCTCCCTGGAGATGGCCACAGTCGAGGCCCTGGCCACGTAGCCTGGTCAGAAGGCCCACCCTGTCTCACCATGTACTACAAGAGAGGACCAGTGATTTTTTTTAAAAAAAAATATATTTAGCACAGGGTCTATAGGGTCTACAGGGTCTCACTACACAAATCGGACTCGTAGTGATCCTCCTGTTTTCAGCCTCCCAAGTGCTGGGATTACAGGCAGGTGTCACCACACCCAGTCTCATTCGCCATCTCAGCGCGCCCCAGGGGTGGGGTCAGCATGGCACACTGTGGATCAAACCCCAGTCCCTGCATCTACCTAAGCAGGTGCTTTAATCTGCTGAGCTACCTGGCCAGCCTGCGAACCCATAATTTTAAAAGTGGAGGAAACAGGATTTGTACTGCAGGACTCATCAGAGCCTTTGGCATGCCAATGGTTCTCAGCATCACCAGACTTGATGGCTTTGGAGCCCCTGAGCAGCTCCAGGGACCAAGAGCTGCAAATTGCAGCAGCAAGAGCGACTGCTTTCCTGGGGGCAGTGCCCTCCCTTAGTCCCCGAGACCCTCGGCGGCACTGGCCTTGGCTGGGCAAGCCTGACAGCGGCCTTGAGGCCCTGCCCCCCCCCCAACTCCTGACCCTGGTAGACACAGAGCCCTACCCTGCACAGCTCCATCCCTGAAGCCCCTCGGCCTCAGAGACCCTGGTCTGTGCTCCTCAGACACCAGCCCTGAGGCCCAGCTCCCCGCTTTGAAGGCTAGGAGCGCAGGTGGCCAGACCAACCTCAAAGGCTCCCTGAAGCCTCCGCCCACCCTTCAGCCCAGCCAGCCTTGCTGGCTGCCTGCCCAGTCGGGCCTGGTAACAGACTAAAGCTCCCAGTGGTCAGGCAGGAGGTGGAGGAGGCTTGGACAGAAGAGGGGCAGGGGGGAGCCCTCAGGTGGGGGGTAGTGAGGGGTGGAAAGGGTCGAGATGCCCAGGGCAGGGGTGGTGGCAGGAAGGGGCAGAGAAGAGTGGCAGCTGGGGGCAGCAGGATGGGCCAGTGGGCACAGATGCCCCCACAGAAAGCCTCATCCCAGAGCCAGGCAGACAGGACCCTCCCCTGGAGTCTCCTGGTGAAGCACAGCAGGGCACTGGCTGAGGTGGCCAGCAAGGGAAAGTGGGCCTGCTTGAGGGTGGCTGGGTGCACAGATAGGAGGACAGACAGAAGCTGGCTCTCTGGATTCAGTGCACAACCCTGGGGCAGGAGCTCAGGGCAGATGGGCCCAGCACAGAGCCAGCTCTTAGTCTCTTCTGGACCTCAGAACCTGAGCCCATGAAGAGGGGCTTCTCAGCGCAGGGGCAGGGGCAGGGGCAGGAGAGGAGCCTGGGGACCCCAGGAGCTGCCCTGGGGCTGGAGACAGTGTGTGTGATCTGAGGGCTGGATGGAGGGACAGCAGTTAGGGCTGGGGTGTTGGTCTAGAGGGCATGGACAGAAAAGGGGGCCCTGAGGGCCCCAAGGTGCTGGAACATGGGGGTGCACAGGCACCCTGGGCTTGAATGGGGGGGATGAGTGGTCATGTGTATGGTTAGGCCTGAGGAGGGGGAAGGAGGGGCTCCTCCCCCTGGGCTGCTATGTGCCCCCAAATTGGCAGCTGGCACCTACTTGATGGCCTTCTTCTCACTGCGCCCACGCCCTGAGTCTGGCGTGCCCACGGTCTCCAAGGAGTTCTTGTAGCGTTTGCCCTGTGGAGACAGCAGTGGTCACTGTTGGGGTTCCCAGAATTGGGGCCCCAGGGGAAGGGAGAAGGTGGTGAGGCCCAGAGCCCAGGTGTGGGGGTGTCATTGTTGCAGGGGGCCAGGCCTAGCTGGCTCTAGGACCTGCCTGCAGTGCACAACACACCTGGCCTCCGGCCGCACGTAGCAGGCGCGCCTGTCTGCTGTCTCCCAGGCCTCTGGCCTGGTGCCCAGACACAGCTCCCTCTGCCACGGACAGACAGCTCTTGGGCGCCTGGTCACGTCATGCCAGCCACGTCACCACCCCCAGATGGTGGGGGCGGTCTCCTGCGGGGCAGGGCTGGCAAAGACCAATGACGTGGGCTGTGGGGGCAGGGACAGACCAGGTTCCTCATCCTGTCCCGGGCTGTATCCAGTTCTGTACCAGCCTCCCTGGGTGCCCTTGAGCCTCAGACTGGGGGGACACTGACATGGGGTGGGAGAAAACCCAGGCCTCAGACCCCCTACCTCACGCCCAGGGTTGGGGTGCAGGGAAGGCTGGAGTACGCTGGGAAGGTGAGCATTGTTCACCTTCCCGCTTTGGGTTTCTAAATTTAGCTGGAGCCGAGCAGGGACCCATTAACATCCCTAGCTGCCACCACGTCCTCACACGCACCCACAGGCCTTGGGCCGGGCCAGAGTGGATGCAGGCGGGGTGCTGTGCAGGGGTGGCTGACAGTGGGCACTGCCTACACTGCCTGGAGGGGCTGGAGACACACGCACGGGCTGCTCCCTCGCCTGCACTGCAGCCACAACAGTCTATTACTTCATCCGCCATGAAGCAGAACGGGAGCTACTGGGGCCGTGCTGCGCCTCCGGGCCAGTCACGGCCTGCAGCTGGGCCCTGGAGTTAGCACCCAGACCTGCTGGACCCTCAGCCACTTCTGGGCCTCTCATCATCACCCACAAGTTCAAATCCCAAAGGATTCCCACTGCTGTGACTACATCAGGGCTGGGCCCCCAGGTGGTGGCCAGGACCCTCAGGTGACAGCCCTGCCCTCAGGACTCTGGCATCCAAAGTGTGGGGTGGAGCAGCTCTGAGGCATCCCTAATGCTCCTGTTCCCTTTGGTCTGAGCAGGGTTATCTGCTCTTGACCCAAGGCCAGGCAGGGCTGGGGACAGTGACCCTGATCCTCAGGGCATCCTGGACACCTCTGCTTGCCCCTGTTCCTTCCACAGCCTGGAGACACTTCCTGTGGCTGTGACTATCATTGTGGCAGGAGCTGGAATACTAATGGGGACAGGAACTGGGAAGGTCATGGTTTGCAGGGCAGGGGGAGTACACCAGGGACCCCAAGCCCACAGGCACCCAGCTGCTCCAGAACCCCTTAGGTGACTCTGGAGGACACCACACTCCAGCCTGCTCATCAGGGAGGGTGGCCAGGTTGATCTCCACAAGCCAGTGGAGAGGAAGGAAGTTATTAACATTTGGAAACAGGATCTGGGCTGCTGGGATATCACATCACCACTGCAAGGGGATGGGCAGGCATGCAGAGTCCAGCATCCACCAGGATTGCAGCCTGTGAAAACCTCTTCCATGGCAAGGAGACTGCATGGACAGAAAGTTTGCAATATCTGGTACCCACAGGGCAGGGGGCCAGTGGAGGGCAAAGTAATGTCCCACCCAGAACAAGCCAAGAGTGACAAGCTAGTCTGGGACTAGAGAGCTCTGGCTGGGGGCTCCAGGCTGCTGGGACCGAGCCAGGGGCTGCTGCACAGCATCTCAGGTCCCCAAGGCACTGCCATCTTTGAACCCCGCCTGTCCCTAGGCTCTGGCCTTGCTGAAGCTGACTGGGCCAGGTAGGGCCGGGCCACCTGCTCCTGGAGGGTGTGCTGCACACGCGCACATGCGCAGGGCCGCTCATGCCGTCCACCTCCTGCAGCCCAGCATGCACAGACGTACACGCTGCCCTCCAGCGATAGTCAGCCACACATACCAGGTCACCAGCAGTGTGCAGCCTTCTCCCTGTCTCCCAGACAGACAGACCACAGCACATGGGTACACACTCAACCTCTGCCAGTCTTGAAACAGGTAGAGGCAGGCCCAGGGGCCCGGCTCAGTACATGCTAGCCAGCTGGGACCCACACACTGGAGAGGGGACAGGCAGCCACACACATGCACACACACTCCAAGTGGCACTGAGCTGCCACCCGGGCTCCTCCTGCAGCCAGACCACAGGGCACACTGCCCTTCCTCAGCTTGCCTTCCGGGCGAATGATGAGTCGATGCGGTCCTCACAGGTCCCCCACAAGACCCCACAGCAGTGGGGCTTGGGGCCCCCGCCATCCAGTCCCTTGGTTGCAGACCACCCCTCTGCCCTATGGGCCCTCTGGCTGAGAGGGAGACAATGGCTTCCCAGAGGTAGAACCTTCGGCCTCGCAGGACTGCCGGGGACCCCTCTGGACCCGGCCCAAGAAAGGCCCTGACCGTCGCCCTCAGCCCTGAATTCCCTCCATGACAGGTGAGGGCCATGTGCAGGGAGGCAGCTCAGCCTGCTGCCGCTTCCGGCAGCCTCGGGTGACTAATGTCCCTCTTGACGGCCTCGTTACTTATTGATGGCCTAATCCTGCTTGTTAATTCCCCAGCCCTCGTTAAAAATGAAAAGCAGCCGTTTGTGCTTGTACAAACCGGAGCATCGGGATGGATGTGCGGGCCGTGGGGTTGGAGCGGGCAGCGCCTTCTCATTGGCTGCGAGGTCCGGCAGGCCACGCCCACCAAAGAAGGGGCGGGACCCCGGGCCGATTCTCAGACCCCGCCTCTGTGTCTGAGGTCGGGATTCCGAGTGGGGCGTGCACGCAGCTAGGGGTGTGCAAGTCCTCGGGTGTGTGGCTCAGGGAGTGACAGGAGATGCTTGGGACCCAGATGCAGGCAAACGCGGTAGGGCTCCCACGCACATGCACGCACAGGAGAGCTCTGTGGGGAGCGTTGCGGGCCTGGGCCCGCCCCAGGGGCCCCAGAATCTCACCAGTTTGCGCTGACACCAGTGGCAGAGGCCGCACAGAACGACTGTGACGCTAAGGCTGACGGTGATGATGGCGGACACCAGCAGGACATCGCGGGTGGGCGCCCCTGGGGAGGAGGACACACAAGTCAGATGTCAGGGGTCAGGGCCTACCGCTCCCTCCTCGTGGACCCCCAGAAGAGCCTCAAGCTTCCAGAGCCCTGCTCACACCCCCAGCTCTGCCTTCAGGGTGACCTCGGGAGCCCTTCTCCCTCCATGCCCGTTTCTTGGTCTGTGAAATGGGGGACCTGGGCCTTTTGGCTTCTCTTTCTGTCTCTGTCATTTTCCAAACTCAAGACTGCCAATTCCAGAGGCCACAGGTGCCTTTCAACTGGACTGGGCTCCACCCACCATGGATCCTCTGCAAGGACCTGGCTTGGGCAGGGACTTTTTCCCTTCCCACCCCACCCTCCATGCCTGCTCTCTGAGCCCTGAGGCCTTGAGGAGCTCTTGAGCCTTCTGCTGATGCCCGCTGGGGTGATGAGTCCCTTACCAGCTGCAGGCAGAGAGGAAGGGGGTCTCTGGGCCGCTGACCCTTGTGAACTCACCTTCGCCTGCTGTCTCCACCTGGTATGCAGAACTCCGCCCCCAACTCATACCCACAGCCTCAGCCCCAGCCACTGTGCGCTCCCGTGCTCCTCAGCCGTTTCCAATCCACCCGCGTGACAGCCAGAGCCTGCCCTGGAGGACAGCCCACGTCTCCACCCAGGCCCACCTCCCGCAGCTGGGGCCAGCACCACAGCCCTCACTCTCTGCTCTGTAGACGCAGAGCAGTCCCTGTGCTGCTGTAACCTGTGCAGCACACACATGGGTTTGCGGAGAGGGCAGACTGCACATGGCAGTGAACATCAGTGTCCTCGAGGCAAGGAGACACGTTTTATTTACGGCAGAGCTTGCGTGGGCTGCTGGGTGCCAGCGAGCACAGTAATTAAGACTCGCCGGGTCGTCCCTCCTAGCTTCTGTGGTTATGGCTCCACCCTCCCGCTCTCTCCAGATTTCTCTTGGGGCCTCAGGGAGGAGGGCTGGTAGCGACCCCTGCTTGAGGGGCCCTGGGGTCTCCTGCTACCCCCTTCTGCACCCCAGGAAGCCCGTGTCCCATTCCTGGTCAACCTCAGGCCCTGATCCAGGTGACTCGTGGGCACCAGGCCCTGCAAGCGGCGTGGGTACCAGGTCCACCATCTGGGAAAGCTGACCCACCCCCTACCAGATGTCCAGGTGCTACACACAAGAGAACTTAGTCCTCAACCACCACAATAAGCACTAAGGACTGCCTTCACTTTTACATGTGGAGAACCTGAGGCCCAAGAGGTCAGGGGCCACACTGACAGTCACCCCGTTAGTGAGTGGGCAGCCGGGGTTCAGGCAGTGCGGCTTGGAGTCTGTGCCCAGCCTGGATACCAGTCCTGCACAGAGGAGCACAGCTGGTGCTCTCCAAGTGTGCTCTTGGGAGTGCTGGGGTTCCTAGACTTGGCCTGGAGGCAGGCGCCGGGCCTCTTGCACATCAGCCCATTTCTGTTCCCCTGTGGCCTTGCCCAGTGAAGTCCACTCAGCAGGGCCGTGTTACTAAGGAAAGCTGGATCCCACCAGCTGTGACGGCGATCCAGGGTCTCCACCACCCGCCTGTGAGTGCCTGTCCTTGTCTTCCAGGAAGTGGACTCAGCCCCTTCAGCTCCCTCCCTCCACCCAGCATCCCTGATCAAGGAGGCAAGCGCCTGCCATTGCAAATCACCTTGATAGAATGAAAGTGACAGGTGTCCCTGGGCCATATGCCTCCCAACAGCCCATTCTGGGGTGCAGTGCATGCACACACCCACCAGCCAGGGGGAGCCACTCTGAATGTGGGGCGGCTGTGGCTCCAGTTGGAAGGGCACAGAGGTCAGCTGTCAGGCCCAGGGGCCATGCGCAGCACTGGACCAGCTGTGCCCACCTGGTGGGTCTCACAAGTGGCAGCTTCCTCCCTGAAACTCTCCCATGGCTGAGCATGCCTGAAGGCCGGAGCTGTGGGAGCAGGTGGCCGCTCGCCAGCCTGCAAATCCCTGCGACAGCTCTGAGTCCCTGCGAGTCTTCTCTAGGTGGAGGCTCCTGGCCCTGCTATGGCCGCTCAGATGACACACACAGTTCAGGTCCCCTTATTCTCAGCACTAACGCTGGGGGAAAGGAAATACTGCAGTCAGAGTCAGCCTCTGAGAGCACAAGGCTCTACTGCCTCCCCTCAGGCCGAGAGGACAGCCCAGGCCCTGGGAACTGCAGACTAGCGTGGGCAGAGGGCATGGGGAGGCCTGGGCGAGGCACAGTGGGCAGCGGGCAGGGCGGGCCCAAGGCTCCATCCGGGGGCATCCTGAGAGTGAGATGTGGGGTTGGGCACACTGCTGCCCCTTTACCAGGGCACACCAGCCAACAGAGCTCAGATCTGAGTTCCCACCAAGTCCCAGGGTGCCACTTTCACTTGGGAGCTCTGCACCCCCAAGGCCGCAGGGTAAAGCCCAAATGCATCCTCTGCAGTCCTGTCTGCAGGCCTCTTCCCCTGTGCCCAGCCTCCGGGACACGCCCTGGCAGCAGCAAGTGGCGTAAGTGCTCGCCCAAGGTCGCAGGTGGAGGGCCTGAACTGCGTGTGTCACCTGAGGTCTATGGGAGAAGGGCTGCCTCTCAGCACCTGCTGTATGCCACACCCAGACCTGCGGCGACAGGGCGGACTGCAGTGCTGCCTCAGCATCCTCGGGGGTGACCTGCATCTGACACCAAGTCCCTCTAAATCTGTGTTGAAGTTACAGGATTGCCTATGTTGTCTTGTTTGTCACCCAAACAAGATGGAGGTGAGGAGACGGGAAGATGTCAGTGACATATCTTAGAGGCTACCTCTTACACTTACACACACACACACACACACACACACACTCACACACTCATGCACTCACGCACGCACGCATGCACGCACGCACACACCCCAGGCCCCTTCTTCCTCCGCCCATCTTTGCCAGACATGCTCTTGACTTCTGCAGGTCCAGCAGGTCCAGCGGACAATGCCACCTCTGGGAAGCCCTCCCTGCCTGCCCGACAGGAGCAACCTCTTCCACCTCCACATCTATCTCTTACAGTGCAGTATCTTATGCCCAGGCTCTGGGCTTGACTGCCTGGGATCAGATTCTGGCAAGCCCCGGCCCCTCCTATGTGCAGGCCTCAGTCTCCCCTTCTGCCCATGGGGCTAAGAATAGCACGGCTCCTGCAGGACTTGGGTGAGGCGTAAGGGAATCGGCACATATACTGCGCTCTGCACAGTGCATGGCTGGGATAAGCAGCCAAGAACACCGCCGCTCTGCTCCCTGCGCCCACCGCGCGCTGCACTCCAATCTGGGGCACAGATGTGCTTGTAGCGCTGAGTGAATATTGCGCCCAGGGATATCCAGAGTCCCTCCAGGACGCAGGGCTCAGGGACCAGCCGCACCCTGACCCAGACCTTGCCGGGACCTCAGGAGCTTCAGTGAGCTCCTAGGGCTGGAAGGCGGGGCTCTGGGGCCGTGCAGACCACAGCAAGAAGCCACTGGGCCTTGGTGGGAGCCACAGACTGCCGGGTCCCTCGCCAGCACTCTGCTCCACTGCCAGCTCCTTCTCATCTCCTCAGAAGCCATGATTTATGGATGAACGGGATCAAACAGGGCTGCTGCCTGCATGGCGCCCTGGGGAGCTGCAGGAGAGGGAACTGACTTCTGAGGGCTGGCACGCCAGCTGCCCAGGGGGGACAGGCAGGGCGGGGTGGGGGTGCAGAACAGACACAGGCCACAGACACCGCAGTTCACATACACATGCAAGCCACAGGACGGACCCTAGTACGGACACTGTGCACACTCACGCGTACACTCCATGGTCATGAGCAGAGCTCTGTCCCTCCCCCACGCTCTTCCCCAGCCTGGGGCTCTGAGCATCACTTTCGCTGCCCAGCACAGCCTGTCCTGAGGAAAAGCAGGGTATGTGCAGCAGATGCTTCGCGTCCAGGCCCAGCTCTGTGCCTGGTTAGACTGAGGGCCCAGGCATCTAGGCCTAGCTAACAAGGCCAGGCTCACCTGCCAGAGCAGCAAATGTGCACCAAAGACACACCACAGGGCAGGCCCACACCTGAAGTCCACGTGCGGCCTCTCCAGGACTGGGGATGCTGTCATCCCACACCACAGGGGACAGACTGAGGCCTGAAGAGCTGCCAGCCCCTGAGCCTGTCCCTTCCCCGACACGGCCTCTGCAGAGCTGAGCGCCCTGCTAGCCTCAGCATGTGGTCCCCGACCCCTCTCTGCCAACAGACAGACCAACACTGTCCCTTGCAGGGGGCCTGGTATAAGCCACTGCCTCTGCCCACCTGACTTCCTTGTCTGCTCCATCTCCAAGGTGCTTGCAGAACCCTCTGCCTCCACAGGAGCAGCAACAGTTCACCATTTGGGGTTAGACTGACTCTGTCTGTCCTTCCCACCCTGGAAGTGCAGACACCCCAATCCCGCATCTCTGCAGCTGGAGCTAGACCTGAGAGGCTGGGTGTGTGACTGCTAAACAAACATGCGGAAGGACTCGAGGCTTTAGAGAAGCCCACCTCCTCCAGGAAGCCTTCCTCAGTGACAGGGACTCAAAGCAGACTCTTCCTGCTCCAGGCCTGAACAAACTGGGTCCCTCTGCTTGGGCACAGAGCTGTGCTGGCCCGCAGGCTGTGGGGAACAGTGGGAGTCTGCATGTAGGCTTTCCCAGAGGCACATGTGTGGCATGCATGCCCCCAAGCCTGGCCCTCTCCCGTACCCTCTTCTGGAGGCCCTCTCGGCTCACTGTGCTCCCTTCCAGGTGTCTTCCATCCTAGGAAGGGATGCACCTGGTGCTGAATCACATGCACAGGCCTCAGTGCCCCTGGGAACACACATCTCTCACTCCTGCCGAACAGTGAAGGTAGTGGAAAGGGTTCTGTGCTTTCTAAGCTGCACAGCAGAAGCAAGGTGTGGTAGCCTGTGAGACCCATACCCTGGGCTTGGCCTCATGTCCACCACAGGGACAAGAGCTAGGCCTTAAAATCAGCTATGCCATGGACAGAAGGATAGGAAGAAAGA